GACAAGGAAAAAGCTCAATCCAGCTGACTCACAACACCAATAGAATCACCGCAGATCCAAATATGCAAACTTGACACTTGTAGACACCACACAGGCTCTTAAAGCGCTCGTGCACACATAGAAAATGATGCTCTTGTGTGTAATCACACACACACACACACACACGCACAAGTACATTTGCATATCATTGTGGGTTAATTCTGTTCGCTTGCATTCATTCTAGTATTCACAGCACATAAAGGCCCACTCAGCACACACACACATATATAAACACAACACAACACAACACATTCACTCTTGTCACAGCGGTTTTAATGACACGTTACCTCCTCTTCCCTTAAAAGGGCGTAAATGATTCACAAATAGACTCACAAAATCTCTGGTTCAGAATGAGACGCACATACGCAGGCAGGGAAGGAAACCCATTCTCATACATGGTGGACATGTTTCAGTTTCTTGTGATATGCTCTGCTGAGCTGCCCTTAAGAGGCCGCAAAAAAAACATTTCAATGTAGGAAAAGGGGGCTGTTGAAAATACAATACGTGATGGAAGGATAGAGGATGGAAGGCACATAGAGAGAAATGATTTAACCAAAGGATCTTTTTGGATATTTGATCAAATCTCTGGTATATTTATCTGTTTAACATCAGAGCTCCGCTCAGTGTACTCTAATCGGCTCGCTTGTGATTCGACTTACACGCAATTTTTTAAATTTCCCTCAGGATTCCACCATCGGAGTGAGTGGTTTTCTCCAAAAAATTAAAAGGTCCTTAGTCCTTACAGGAATACATGAGTCCTGCAGTGAATAGGGCATGACAGACCAGTCTAAATGTATCAGGACTAAGCATAAATGGGTTCTGCTTCTCTGCTCCACCAGACATTTCATATTTCCATAAAAGGTCAAATCAATTTGATATACAGAATATGATATGTCCTGCTATGTTTACTGAACCGCACACATACCGTAATACACATCTATTTTGGAGAACACAGTTTTGACGTTTGTGTACCTCAATTAATTGCTTTTCCTATTACAAATTATATTCTCATTTTTGATATTATGTCTTATTTCAAAAGTAAAAACGTGTCAGTGAAAAAGCCCCTCAGAGCAGTACGCTAGTAGTACGTGAAGCAATACTTTGAGCCACAAAGACTGTAATTTATCCCACAGAATAAGTTAATGTCTCAAGGAGAAATAAATCATCCAACATGTACTAGCAGCTCTCAATGTCCACACATGAAAATACTAATTAAATAAGAAAGAAAAAGACCTAGAACAGATGTAAGCTTAAACAATAACTACTATGAACAAAAAAAAATAGAAATATGAACAAAAAGACAAGATACAAATATGTAGTAGTGCTGATGCTAATTAAAAGTTATTAAAACAATAATAATAATAAACGGAGATGGAGCATTTATATTTGTCCACAGCTTTCTTGCTATGAAAGCTTTTATGCATTGACACCGTAGAGGTCTCAATAAAACAAAATAAGAATTCTGAAATGTCTAAGGTCAGATGAAATGGGAATTGTGTCATAATTGCACTGGACATAAAGCAACAAAGGTCATAATGAAGTGATCCATGAAGAGGTCATTCCATTTGCTGTACACAGGAGAATAGAGCACACTGCAGGAATTATTAGCATCATAAAGACTAAAAGGATGTCATTTGAAATACTATTTTCAATGTTAACAAATGTCCTCTTCTGTTCTTTTGTTCCCGACGTTAATCTTTCTGTGAGATGTCAAAATGGAAATGTAAAAAAGGTCACATTTGGTTGGGTTAATTCCATCAGCAAAGATAAAGACCGTGACAGGGTTGGTTTTAATCTACTTGGAAAGGATCAGATCAGGACAATCCAGAGAGCAGCAACGCCTTCCTAAACCACAGAAAAAACACTCCAACGACTCTCTGAACTTCCTTGCCCTCACATCTGATGACACGAATGCACACACACCTTTGACCTCAACAAAATGCCATATTTACAACTCAGTCTGCGGTCTGTTTAGTGAGCATTGCTCTGTCTGACTTAACGTACTGAACAACACCTTACAGGAGGAGGTCGAACGTCGTGTGACCCCCATAGAGCACACGAGGGTGCACTGACACCGCTGCTGTCGTTGAAGTGGCCTCTTGGTCATTCGTTTTTTCCGGTGAGTCTAGACCATTGGGATGTAGATCACATACAGGAAGAGCCTTCAGCGCTTGCTGTGACACAAAGCGGATTTGTTATGATCCACATTAAAACGTTTTAAGCATTTTGGGCCCGGGCCGTGCATTCTGACACTAGTCGGGTTTCACTTTAGTAGTCCTTCGCTTCTCAAGGGACCCTGTTTCCTAGCTGTGCTAAGAGTAAACAGCAACCCTGCCAGCATAGTCTTCACACTACACACCTTTTGATATTCAGATTTTCTTTTTTAGAATTTTCTTTGGAAGTTACTTTCGTCATTATTCAATTAGACCAATTATACATGGGACGCCACAGGGTATGTAGGACACTCCTTGAGCCTCCTTCTCACCTCGACATGCAGCTGCATGCAAATACACCACAGTGCATCAAACTAAAATGATTCCAGATTCAAGCCATGACAAGTTTTGCATTATAAGTCTGGTTTTATTTTACAAAACGGTAAACCTGGACTGTTTCTAAACACATTTCCATTGTCTATCTTTTACTAAAATACAAGTACATAGAAATATTTATTTTCGTTTAGTATTTATAGTATAGTATTTTATTTAGTTTTGTTGTGGTAGAGAGGAACAACTAAAGACCCGCCATAGAGATGGAGGTGAGAGAAAAAGTGAGGAAAGGGAAGGTATATGGTGGAGGACGGAGCAGGAGAGGAGAAGGTCTAGGTGAGGGTTGTCTCATTAATCTCAAACGAGAGCAGCGGCCCTTTCACAATGCAAATGAAACCATCAGTCTTGCCAGAGATACGGAGAGAGGGATGGAACGGTAGAGGTGGAAGGTGGAAAAGGCAAAGAAATGGAACACTCGATTCTTGGTTCCACTGAATAACAGAGTAATGAAAGTGTGGAGAAACACTGTATTCACTTCTTCTACATAAAAGCGTATCTTCACATCCAGCGGAGCAACCTGCTGTTTGGTGCTTGCCAGGTAGCTCACAGACAGTGTTATTTCTAAAAACAAGTCTCAGCTCTGTACGGCCCAACAGTCCTGAGCTTTGTTACCGTGGTTGTTAGTGAGGGACAAATACAGGAGGTCATTACATGTGGACCACTATCTGATTAAACAATAGTGAGGAGATACTGACCCATCTCCACCTTCAGTGATAGGGTCTTTCTCTTTGAATCACCTGCCCCACCACCCCCCTCCGAGCCGCCTCACCTTGCAAGAGAGCAGGATTCCTGTGACATCACAAGGTGAACAACGATGATTTCAGTATTCGAGTCGTGCGTTTGAGTGCACACCACTGGGGCTCCCACCGATCGCCATGCTGGGACGGGCTACAGGCAGCTATGGACTGTCCTCACCCGCGTATGGTAGAGGCAAAAGGACGTGTTGGACAACAGCGGCTGTCCCTTTGAAGGTTAGGCTGCTAAAATGTTGGGCTGATAATAGAATTCATTGTGAACGTCTGTACCACATTTCATGGGAATCCATTTAATAGCTGTTATGACCCTCAAAACGGATTCATCACGAATATGCCTAGAAAAGGTCTTGGCACGCTACCATGGTAAAGCTGCGTTATTTCAACATGTTGACCCATGTTGTGAGCCAAGCAATTGACAGACTGGCCTTTTCTCATCAGAGTTTGACAGTGTGGACTCATCGTACAGCAAAATACCAATCATATTCGCTTCTGTGTCCATTTCATGTGTCTTGTTAAATCTCCAATCAGGGATCAAGTTCTTCATTTCAGAAATCACTGCATGAGTCACTGAGCTATAATGACACAGCCTTCAGACAAGAATGTGAGTGCTGAGACGCTTCAGAGGATTGTCGCACGGTCAGAGGCGGCGAGGGGAAGAGGTGCTGGACAGCAGAGGGCCTTGGTGCTCACAGTCCAGTGAGGTGAGATGGAGATTGGTACTTCAGCTGGAAGCAGAGTGTCTGTCTGCTGGTCATCAGCGGTCAGTCAACCTGTTTGTCTGCAAAGACAAACAGGAATCATGAGACGAGACGAGCTGCTCGCTGACCTGTCTTTGTGGCTGAGGCGCTCTCTCCTAAGTGTAAACGTGCTGCAGACTTTGTGTTGGAGTGTGTGAGAAACCGCAGGGAAGCGACCGATTGGTGGAGCAAAGGCCCATTGGCACCCACTTCTGAAATGATACGCCATGGGGATTTACGACCACATTGCAATCACTTTGCCTCCTTTACTACGTGTCACTCGCGTATTTTTACTCCAGCTTTGTCTGTCCTTGTCATACCTTCATAGACTATTATATCCAGGGCAAAAATGCTTTTACATTAAGTAGAGCTGATTTAATGTTTCGATTTTTGATTCTTCTTGGCATACAACACATTGCTGCAGTTAAGAAATCAACCAAAGAGGGATTTAACTAGAGATGGGCAATATTTTGCTTTCATATGTGTTGATATGAGAGTAGATCTTCCCCTCTGCATCGTTATATCACATTAGTCGACTTCTTTACTTGTTGGAACCCTGCAGTGCAGTAAAGGGATGAGAATTTTTACATATACCAAATCTTTTCTTATCATTATACTTACTAATTATCTGTTACTTAAGGGTTAGGGTTTGTTTTGGAAAAGCAGCAATGGTCAACCCTACAATTTCTTCAACGTATCAAAAACGAGGTATTTCGTCTGAAATATTGTGAAAATTTGATTCTCCCGAGGCCTAGTTTTTACTTCTCAAAAATGTCTATAAAAAACATATTGGTAGTTGAATGGATAAGATGACTGTATGTGTGCTGAGATAAGAGGAGAGCTTTCTTCTTCACCTGCACGGTTAGATTATAGCTTGATGTCGACGGGCCAGTAAAACGTATCTCTTTTTGTCTCTCTCACAGCTCTCCAGACCACTCAGCCTCCTAAGGTCCTTTTCCCCCCAGAGAGGCAAGACACGGCGATAGAGATCACGCCTGGTAAGGACCAACAGCTCTTCTCTATCTCTTTATTTTTGGATTGAAATGGTAATCCTTAAGGTCCTCGTCCTCAAATGCAGTCGCAATCTTGGGTGCAAAGTGCTCATTATTGTGGTGTTTCCTCATGTGTGTGAGGGACCCATTGGGACACCACCATGGATCATTGCTGCCCTGTCACAACAGCTCAACTGCCACTGTAGTGTGACCTTCAGCCATAAATAATAAGCTGAAGCGTGGTTCTTACTTGGTGCAGGGAGTTAATGTTCTGTGACACAAAAACCATTCAATGCACACATATGGATGCCCTTTAACCCTTTGCATGGGACAGGAGCCCCTTCCCACCTATAGCCTGCACAGCATTGATAATAGTGATTTTGTTTCCATGATGATCCTGTAAACAGAGTTTTTAATGCTAACTGCACAGGTCTTCTCAAGGTTTTAGCAACTGACAAACTCTTTATAAAAACACAACATAAAGGCCTTCCTGCACTGGCACTGAACACTGACATCGGACATAAATCACGAGCTGTGCAATCGTCCAGTAAGGACGTCATTGTAATGGATACGAGGCGGGTTGAGACTGTATCAGCTGACCTCCTTTGCAGCCGTGTCTTTTGTAGAGCCTGTGTAGGTGTAAGGGCCTCATGGAGTGAAGAAGGTCTTGGGGAAGATACACCTCAGTCGACCCTGCACAGGCCTTGCAACGTCCACAGGGAGCTCGGGGGTATGCGCGGAGCGGCAGGCCCGGAGCTGGTGGGGATGTGGTGACCTGGGTCGGAGAGGTCAGAGGGAGCGCTCTGGAGGAGGCTGTCCTCGCTGCCCCCGCCCCCCTTCGTGCACTCAACCCAATCTACTTTCTGCTTAAAACAGCATTTGCATGGCCCGCGCACGACTTATCTACTGATGAAGTAATCATTGCCACCACTTTTTTAAATGTAGTCATGTTGGGATTTCAAGATCAAGAGCACGGGACGTTTTTTGATTGGCAGCTTCCATCAAGCTGGTCGTAGTTTTTAAAACAACATGAAAGGTTTGATAAGACAGGAATTTATAAAATGAACAATATCACAATATAGGGCGACGGTGGTGCATGGAGTAGAGAGGGTGCGCTGGGAACTGCCAGGTTGGCGGTTCGAATCCTGGCTGCTCCATGTCCCAAGTCGAAGTGTCCCTGAGCAAGACACCTTACCCCTAATTGATCCCCGGGCAAAAAGGTAAAAAAAAAAAAAGTAAGTCGCTTTGGATAAAAGTGTTGGCTAAATCAGTGGTCCCCAACCACCGGGCCGCGGACCAGTACCGGTCCGTGGGCCATTTGGTACCGGGCTGCACCACAGGAAGAATATATATATTTTTTTTCTGAAAAATGTTTTATTTTGAAAGTTGACCGGATTCTCTCCTAATTATGTGCGCTCGTCCCTCTTGACATATTTCCCAAGCGTCACAAAGCGTTTTTCTTCACGTTCTTCACAACGTACGCCCCCCCCCCACCCGTCGGTCGGTCCGACCGCACCTACTACTACCACCCCATTATTCCGCTGGAGCTTCTTGACCGGACCGTTTTCATGATCATGTCTGACATGAAAACGGACCGTGAGGTAAAAAACGTTGGGGACCACTGAGCTGAATGACATGTAATGTCCCTGGAATTTGCTAATGCTAAACATGCAAACCTGGTTGGCTGGCTGCCTAGCCAGCTCTATGTGTGTGTACACAAGCATTTGTGTGTGTGTGTGTGTGTGTGTGTGTCCCGCTGTTCAGCGCTCTCTCTCACAGTGTTAGCACTGAAGGCAGAGTGTGTTTGGATGTGTGTGTATCTGCGAGTCATGTGTTTCCATTAACTCCGGATTGATGTAGTAACAAATAGGCCCTAAGGCCTCTGTACACTGATTGCAGCAGGGACACCTTTTAATGGGCACCGCGATCCCCCACCAACCGCACACACACACACACACACACACAGTGTGCAGCAACCACTCGAGCAGTCACAGTATGACCCCAGTACATTTTTTAATTATCATCTTGTTTTAACCTGCAGGAAATTTACACCAGAAACCACTGCTGTGTTGATCATTTCCTTCTTCTTCTCCTCCTCTTCCCCCTGTTCATTTTTCTACTCTTCTTCATCCCTTTAGTCTTTCCTTCTCTGTTAACCTTTGGATCATGTTTTTTTTCTCTTTCTTTTCCTCAGTCTGCTTTTCCCATTATTCAATAATGCTCTGGGTTGTAAACGCAATTCATTAATCTCAATGTTATTTCAATGATGGTGGCTACAGGCAGATGACTGACAAAAGGAGCTTTAATTAAAGATTGATTCATGATATCAGTATTCACATTTTATTCTAAATACAATACTGAGGAAAAAGCTTTAGGATGTATTTACATGGAACATTTTGTCTTTATACTGCAGTTATAACTCAGCTTAGAAAGTGTGGAGATGGCTTTCAATTAATATGTCTCACTGGGTCACATCTTTTCTTATTTCTTATTATTGCATTTTCTGATCCTTAATACTGTGTTCAATGAGAAATAAATGAGAAGTAAAAGTGACAAATTCAAGATCAAAATACACGCATGAAGTAACCCTATAAGTCATGTAGTAGCCACACTTGAAACAATGAATCTCCATGTTGTCTTTGTGTGTGAGCCAGAAGAATAGAAGCGACAGACATGACTGATGCATGTCGACTAAAGAGGTAGAATGAACCCACCGTCGTGCAAATCCACAGAAAAACAAAGCAAGATAAATTGTGACTTGAAGAATGAAACTAGATTTGATTTATAACTGAAGACCAAAGAAGCTGCTCGCGTTGGTCGACAAATCACCGGTTCTAACATGTGCTTACCCCCCCACACTGGAGTGCAGTGAAAGTAACTTTAGTTATGTGAGGGATACACATTGTAATACCGGGGCCAGTCTCCAATTACAAATATGTCTGTGTGTGCCTGTGTGTGTGTGTGTGTGTGTGTGTGTCCTTTGTGTATCTTGTAAACAGTCCATCTGATCTCCTACACACTTGTCAGTATTGCTGGGGACGAAGAGGATTACTGTGTGTCACTGTCAATTTTAATAAGCTTTGAATAAATAGAAGTCAAGCATATCATCCGCATATATATATATATATATATATATATATATTCATATGTATTCAAACTTTCTTATGAGACTAGGACTAGCAGTTATCCCCTAATCAACTCGTCATTTGGTAGATAACGTATAACAAACAGACCCCAAAAGCTTTGAAGAGACACAAACCATCATTTACTATTTTATAATCTAATCAGGTAATCAGGAATTAGGAGACATACATTGATTTATGGTGAAAATATGAATTAGCTGCAGTCGTGTGAGTCTACACACGCAATGCACACACACACACGCGCACACGCACACACACACAGCAGTATCATGTGCCAAGATGAGGCTGGCTGTGAAAGGCAGGGTGAGATAAAGAGTCAGGCTTTGCTATCTCCTCCTCTTCCTCCCCTCGTCTCTCTTCCTCCGTCCGTCTCTGTCGTCTCCCTCCCCCATTGCACTTATCTCCCCACGTCTGTCTCCCTCTGTCCCTGCGAGGTGTCTGCCTCTATCTCGCTTTCCTTCTATCCACCTGTCCTCCCTTCACCGCTCGCTACTTCTCGAGCCGTGCCTTTGTCTTCCTCCCTTGGCCCCTTCATTCATGTGTCTTAAAGTGGCGATCCGTCACGTCATCATTCCCTTTCAAACTGTCACCAGGCGATAAAGGGGGGGCGTGGTCGGTTTGTGGAACAAACACAGCCCAGGTCTTTATGTTGCAGATTTCCATCCTGCTCGTGTTTGCACTTAGTCATCCTCAGACGTGTAATTCACAGCACAACTATGCAGCACAATGGCTCCAAAGTCTCAAATTATCAGCAATAATAATACCAATCGTTTCCGCTTTCCTATTTATGGATGATACAAAACCTTGTCTACAAGATGAAGCCTGAATAATTGGTGTTTAAAAGTAAATGAGCAAATGAGAAGGTCCAAGATGGATCGAGGGGAACGAGAATCAAAAGATGTCGGAGCCTAAGAGATGGAGAAAGAAAGAAGGAAAGAAGGATAAATTTGGGTGATAAAAAACTACAACGTAGAAGAAATAGAAAGAGGAAAAGAGTAGTGAATTACAGTGATGATAGCAGAGGAAGAAGGGGAACGAAAGTATGAAGGGGTGCAGATGGTGGTTCAGGAGAAGAGAAAATGCAGATTAATAATTAAGGGCAGATTAGGAAAGCGAGCTAGGAAGTAAGGAGGGACACAAAATAAGTTATCATCAGTTTAACACACACACAAACACACACCTTCTCTGCCTGCATCACTATCTCAGTTTAATCACATCAGAGGGCGGCTTATGTGTTGGTGGTAACATGCCCGATGCCCCGTCATCAGCCTATGAATGTGTGTGAATGGGGGAAGGATGGCGTGTGGTACTGAAGCGGTTGGAGTACAGTCCATTTACCATTCAGCATGAGGCCACATAATGAGGCCTTGGGTGTTTGCTATCAGAGCCGTGTGCAAAAACCTCTGCTGTTGTTGCCGAAGGAGAAAAGAGAGAGAGAGAGAGAGAAAACAGGAGAAAATAAGCACAAGTGAATGGATGATCCGTGTACAAAAGTCATCTCGCTGTCATTTGTTGTCTGGCGGCCTCGTAAATATGCTGATCAGCAACCTTGATTGAGAAGGAGGCACTGATTGAGAGATTTGGGGGGAGATCAATCAGAAGGAGGGGAGGAAGGTGTCTCGTGGAGGTGAGGCGGTCACCTTAAGGGATAGTTTAGATGTTTTGAGGTGGTGTTGAATCATTATTTATCCTCAGTGCATCGCTTACACTTGTTGGCGTTTGCGCGTTGATCGACATCAGCAAAAGGTAAAAACCCCTAAAAGCGGGGGGGGGCCCATTAGGTCCATCGCCAAGGCAGTGCCAGTAGTGCCTGGTATTGGAAAAAAACAGAGTCGGGTCACCCCACCCCCGTTGGCCAGGGAA